AAGAAAATGATGAATGAATAACAAATAAAAATTGGATACAATAAATACAAAGATATGGACTTTGAAGCTTTAAAAAACTCTTGATTCTTTGAGAGAATGAAAATGTGACTTATTAGCTCTTGCTCTCTTTATTCATTAATCTTTTTGGAGTGTTGGAGTGTCCAATTTACAAAAAAATTGAAGAGATAGCTGTTGAAAGTGTTTGGGAGAAGAAAATAGCCATTGGAAGCATTAAAAAGTAGCTGTTTGAGTGTTTTCACCCAGAACCGATCGATCCCTTCTATGAAAGGATCGATTGGTTCATGTTTTGAACCAATTTATCTTTGAAAATCATGACCCGATCAATCCCTTCTATGTTTGATTTTTTTATCCCTACACTCCTTACTTTCATTATTGTTCATATTTGCTTCTAAGTTCTTTAATTATTGTTAATTGCATCATATTTTCTATTCAATTATATTGAAAGCTATTTTTTGGGAAAATTTTGGAAAAAATTTAATTTACCCATCTTGGATTGCCTACTTATACTAAAAAGCTAACAATAGTTGTTTAAAGTTAAATGAGAAAGGTTAATATTACTTGTAGGTAAAGATAGTGCTTATAAGGTAATATCTTAAATTAAGTTTAATTTCATTTATATTACTTTTAATTTTTAGTACATTTCAAGTTTGATTAAATTCTTGTTTTGTTTCAATTCAGTTTTATGTTCTGTTTTAGCTTTAATCTTTGCTGTTTTTACACTTTAATTCATTATTCTTTTAAAGTTTCAAGTTCATTTGCATCCTTATTAATTTCCTAGGTCGATTACATTCATGTTATTGTAGATTTGTTGTTATTTTTTAGTTGAATTTACATGATGTTTTTGGTTTGTTGTTTTTGTAGTTTTTATTGTTTCATTCATGCTATTTGAATATCAATTTATTTGAATCCATTAATTGAGTATGTTGAATCCTTAAATGATAGAACATGATATAGTTAAAATGTTCAATTTTGATACTTAGAATTAGATTCTTTGTAGTCCTTGAGAAATGATATTCATGGTTACTTTTATATTATTACTTGAGCAATTTGTGAAAGGTTTGCCTTGTTAAATTTATGTTTTTAGGTTAAATTATGATTTTTGAATATTTATTGAATTATTAGGATATTAAAAGAATTGAGTAATTGGCTACTTAAGTTTTAGTTTAGCGCATAAGGTAAGTGACTTGATATCCCTTCGATTTTTCTGTCTTTAAAAATTAGCCTCAATATATTTAGAATTGAAATATATAATATATATTGTTTTGCCCATTTGTTTTGTAAATCAAGTTGAGCATGAAAAATGTATATATAATTTCTTTGTTATGCGTTTAGAATATGGTTTAATATTGTTTTGATTTTCGAATATGATTTTGTAATAATATATTTATATATCCATTATTTGTCGAAATATGAAATTTTGCTCGCGATGACGACATCACAAACCCATCCTTAAAACTAGTCCGTTCTTAGCAAAATCTCCAAGGCAAATTGATACTCAAAGATTATAAAAATGTAGCAAAACCCATCAAAGAATCATTCTATGAAGCACTTATCAAGCATTACCAAATTATTGACCAAACAAAAGTATTTAATGCAAGAATTTAATCCCGCATAAAGCCATCATAACTTGAACTAGAAATAAAACAAAACCATATTGGGCATCAACATTATCCATCATCTTAATATTCTTGCATCACAAACTCCTATCAACAAATCTAAGCCAACACTTGAAGATTAAATAGCAAATTAGGACAATATTAAACTAACACTAACTTGAAGCAATTACTAGTACTTTAGTTCACCATCCTCTATTTCTTTCAATTTTTTAATAAAAAGATCATCATCACAATGTGTAGAGAAACCCACATTTTTCCTAAATTCCAAGTGGTTTCAGCTTCCTTTCTTATGACATTTAACTAGTTCTAAGAATCACCATTGGATAGTGATTCATTTGCATACTTACCCCCTTAGTTTATAAATCTCTAAACCCCTTTAGTTTTTCATTTGATAAATTTTGTAAAAAAATATGGTGAATAGATATAGCAAAGCAAAAACTGTTAACCCATAGCTAGACTAGGCAATTCAAATTATGATACAATGATATGATACAAAAATGATACGAAAAAATCATAAAAGCAACATGAGTTAAAATTTTAGTAAAAAACATATATAAGTTTAACAAAAACTAAAATATAATTTCGTGTTTTTTTGTGTTGACACGAATTGTGAAATGAAATTTTTATATAAAACATAAAACATAATACATATACATGACTTTTTATTATTTTACACGATACGAATACATGAATTGCTAAGTCTACCATCGGGGTGTAAATGATACGTTAGTACTCGCAAACTACTCAAGTTCGACTTGAATCAAACCCGAATTCAGTTCGATTATTATCAAGTCAATCTCGAGCTCAACTAGTTTGACTTATTGATCGAGCTGAGTTCGGATATTCTTATAACCGACTCGAGTAGTTCACGAGCCGAATCAAGCTTTTATATTTTAATATATTTTTATTGTTTTAATTTATAAAATATCTCAAACTCAAGGTTGAGAACAAATAATCTAGCTTTTGTCAAATATAAAAATCAAATTTATTTTTACATGTTAATCGAGCCTAATCAAGTGAACTCGAGAACTCGATTTTTATCTTGAGTTTAGCTTGAAATAAAAAAATAAAACTTGATCGAGTTCAAGTTGAGTTTCGAGCCTTGAATTTCAAATCAAGCTCGAGCTTAAGTTTAATACTGTATCGACTCAAACTCGATCGATTACACCCATAATCTATCCATGGCAATGCATGGGCACTTTTCTTGTTTTCTATCAAATCTTAACCTAAATATGTTTTAGATAGCTTTTATTTACACCCAATTTTTTTTATCTTCACACCTTTTTTTAAAATCATTCCTAAATAAAATTATTTAATTATCATTTTCAAACCCCTTCCTACTTTTAAACTTTTGAATTTGTAAATCCAGACATTTTTAAAAGCAAATTCTAAAGCTTTTAAAAGTTTTTAGATTCACATATATGGAAGCTTTTAAAATTTTTTGTCTCAGATTGTTTAAATCAAGAAAAAAAATTAAAGACCTACATGTATAGTTTTTGTTTCTTAATTTATAAATGAGCTTACAATTATTTGAAAAAAATCATGTTTTCTTTTTAATATTATGAAAATTCTTCAATGAGATTTTTTTCCTAAACTAATTTTTTTTAAACTCTAAATGTAACTTACCAGATATAAAAATTAAGTAATTTATATAATTTATCATATATACATATCCAATAAATTATATAACTTATGGGATATGCATATAATAATTTATTAGATATACATATTTGATAAGTTTTATAACTTACCAAATTTCTGGATATGAATATATGATAAGTTATAAAATTTATTAGACATACATTTTCAAAAGCTTTAAAATTTAGATTAGAGAAGATAATTAAGTAATTAACTTAAAATTAATTTTAAAAAATAGATACATAGAGAAACAATATAGTGCATTTGAAAGCAAGCTATGTTTTATCAAAAAAGAAAGTTTAAATATAAAAATATCCCTAAATTATATATTTTCTATCGGTTTAGTACCTAAAGAAATAAAACTATTAGACTGTACCTGAACTTTTATTCCATTATCATATTTGTACCTGAAACTAATACTGTTAGTCAATTTTGCTGACATAAGATGAACATCTAATAAAATGTTAACTTATATTGAAAAAACTAATTAGTGCCACATAATCAATGCCACGTTAGCATGAAAAGTTTTAAAACAAATTTAAAAATTCTAAAAATATGTTAAAAAATTTTTAAAATTAAAAATTATCAAAAAATACTAATCTTTTATGAAAAAATTTTAAAAAATTTTAAAATTTTCAAAAAATTCAAAACATCTAAAAAGTTTTAAAAATTATAAAAATGTCAAAACAATTCTTTAAAAAATTTTAAAATTTATAAAAAAAATTTAATAGTAAAAAAAACTAAATAAAAACTAAAAACTATTTAAAACATTCTAAAAAAATTTTAAACAATTTAAAAAAAGAAATATTTTGAAAAAATTATAAAATATGATAATTTTAAAATTTCACAAAATTCTTAAAAATTTAATAAAAATCCATAAAATTCGAAAAGAAAATTTGAATAAAAATCAAATTTTCTTAAAGTTTAAAAAAATCATAGAAACTTAACAAACTAAAAATAAAAAAAAAAATCTACAATTTTTGAAAAACTTTGAAAATGTAATAAATAGAAAAATTTTGAACAAATATGAAAGCTTTTAAAAAAAATTTAAAAGTTTTTAAAATTTTTTGAAAAATTAAATAATTTCAAAAAACTGAAACATTTTACAAAATTTTAAAAATTCTAAAAAGTAAACAAATAAAAAAACTTAAAAATATAATCAAAATCCAAAAAATTTTTTAAAAATATATTAAAAATTAAAATTGTAAGATTCAAAAAATATCAAAGATTTCATAATTTTTTAAAAAAATTTTACATTATTTTTAAACTTTTTATATTTTTTTTAAAAAATTTTCTTTTAATTATTTTAAGTTTTTTTTATTAAAATCATCATTTTTTGAATTGTTGAAAAATTTTGAATTATTTTTAAAATTTTGAGATTTTTTTGAAAATGTTTAAAATTTTTTTAAAATTTTAAAGAAATTTTTACTTTTTTTTATTTTTTAAAAATCTGTAGAAAATTTTTTACAATTTTTTTTAATTTTAAGATTTTTTGTATTCTTAAAACTTTTTAAGTGAATATTCTAAAAATTTTTTAAAATTTTTAGAATTTTTAAAAAATTTATAATTTTTTAAAATTTTAAAAAATTTATTAAAATTTGTTAAAAAATTGATATGACATTAATGATATGATATTAATTGAATTTTTTTTGCATATAATAATAACATTATGTTATTAAATATTATTATCATATTAATAAAATTAACTAATGGCATTAATTGAAAATACTAATTAAACTAAAGTTCATATGCTATTTTAAAAAGTTTATTTTTTTAAGTATTAAATTGAGAAAAAATATATATTTCAAGAGGCAATTTTATATTTAACCAAAAATAAAAAATCCTAACTCCCCATTTTCTTTTCTTTGTCTATCCTTGAGAAGTTTCATTCTCTATTTAATAAATAACTCTTCATCTCTACGCTTTCTTCCCTCGTTTCTTCTCGTCGCCGCACCTGGAGTTATCGGCGGCAGCTTCATCTTACGCTTCCCTTGTTTATTATCTTAGGCCGCTTCTCCCTTTTTCTTCATTTTTCCCTTCAATAAAACAGCCTTCAAAACCCAATAATCGAAGACTATTTACTTCTTCACTGAAACCCAAAGCCTGTACTTTTCTTTACAATTTTTGAAGACTTGAAAATCAAAGGTTAATGTTTGTGGATTTTCTTTTTCCTTTTAAGAATTTTCTATTTAGGATTATTTTAATGGAAAATTGTTTGGCAGGGACGGGTGATTTTGGTTGACTAGTGTGACGAACCCAAGGGATTGAAAACTAGAATGTGCATGGTATGTAGCATTCTTTTCAATTGTTGGCCATGCCTCATTTATCATATCTAGGATATGATAATTTTAGACGTAAAATGATATGAAAGTGATATAGTTTAAAATTGAAAAAAACTTTATATGGGTTTGATAGAAACAAATAATATATTTCATATTTGACGTGTCTACACGAATTATGATATGATAATGTTTGTGTTTTCCACATGTTTCTCATGTAGCAAACACGATACGAACACACGGATTGTCAGATCTATCATATCCACAAATGCAACATTTTCACTCTATCTATTATGTTACCCAAAAGAGACATACAATACAATTGGCATGCTTGTTTTGTAGACCACCCCTCTCACCTTGCCCATTACTTTGTTATAGTGTGTTTGATTGTGTTTCATCATAATCTTTTCCTCTCTTCTACAGTTTTTATTCATGTTGCATCATAATCTCTTGAATATATGCTAGATTACCTTGTTATTTTATCAATGAAATTGTTTTGACAAATTTTAACTTCGAAATTGAATCTATTGGTTCAATTGATGAACTGGTCTAAGAAGCAGTGACCTTAGAGTATTTCTGGTAGTGTTTTACATCTTTGATTATGTAAGGCACTTGTAGACTAAAGAAATGAAAAAAAAAAAGAAGATAGATTTACTAAGTTAGGCAGTTTCTTATTGTCTTCAAATTTTCAAGCCATCTTGCGAATCAGTAATCTGTGCAATAGATTAAAAGTTCTATTGCTTTGGAAGTAGACATGTTGATTCCACTTTCTACTGGATCTAACATATCCTGATTATCATGTCCTCGTTATTGCTTTTGTTTCTTAGCATTAGCCAATAGCTTTTTTTTTTTCATGTTTGATTTCTCTATGCCGCATTTCTTGTTCTTAATTGTCGTGTATTTTGTTTGAAATAATTAGTAATATGAATTCATTTTCAAATTCTAAACTCTAAAAATATTGTTCTTTGAAAAATTGTTCATGAACTTGTGGTTTTAGGCTTTTTTTAGGACTTTTGGTGCCTTAAGGGCTGAAGTGGGAGGCTGTCCACATTTAGACCCAAAAGATAACATAAATAGCTTAAGTGCATTATTTTAAACTTGTTAAAAGTATATTATTGCTCTTATTTGCGTAGTGGTTCATATACTTGGTCAATTTATGGTTTTTTAGGACTTTTTTAGCACTTGAATGGCTAATTTATAAGGCTGACAAATAAATTTTCATTGAGTTACCCACATAGCTTAAGTTCATTTGAAACTTGCTCAAAGTCTAAAAGCATTGTTCTTTTTAAAATTGTTCATGAACTTGGTGATTTTAGACTTTTTAATATGTATCTTTTTTTACGTGGAAGGGCCAAATTGGGAGGCTGCCCTTATTTAAACTCAAAGGACCACATAGATAGCTTAAGTGCTTCATTTTAAACTTGTTCAAGTTCTATTATTGCACTTGTTTGCATAATGGTTCATATACTAGGTGGATTATGGTTTTTAAGACTTTTTGAAAAAAAATGAAAATGATTAAGTAACGGATGAGGCAAAGGAGAAGAAAGAAGCAAATGGAAGCTTTCCTTTATAGATTCTTACTCCCTGCAAAGAAAAAGAAGTGATAAGAAAGAGGTAGACCTTCGTGATGTTTCTCTAGTCACTACTTGAATAAATTGATTGGAAAAAACCAAAATCTAGATTTTATATTAGAAACGAAAGGTTGTTTCAAGCATGGTGATTCAAATCTTGGAATTCTTCAATATTTTGGAATTTAAGCTCTAAAAATAACAACGTACTAGAGTTGGAACAATTAAAGTAACTTGATACTATTCTTGTATTTTTTAATAATTGAAAGAAATAAAATAATCAATTTTATTAAATAAAATCACAAGTTTTTACATGAAAGCAATAAATAAAGAGATTTTTTTAATTAGAATAAAAACATATATTTTTTTAATTAGAATAAAAACAAAGGAAATCTACAAAAAAACTGGACATAATAAAAAGGGTGAATATGAAATAATATAATCCTCATCATTTTGTGAATTATTGAATAGTAAAGTGAAAATTAAAAAAAATTTCATTAAATACTCATTATTAGAATTAACACTTTTTGAAATTTTGATTTATAGTTTCGTCTAAAAGTGCAAATCTGCTTTTCGTATAAGCTAAAATACTTAAAATTTTGAGAGCCAAACACATGGCTTTTGTTTATGAAATAGATAAGTTCTTCCATAAGCTAGACTAAACACCTAGTTAGAATAATAAAGTGAAAGGCAAAGTTAATTTTATATTATTTCTTTAGTTGGATTGGAATTTATGGGAAAGAAATGAGCGGAAAGAAAAGTTAGAGTTTGATTATAATCTTTAAGAAAAAAATGAGTGGAAAGAAAAGTTGGAGAAACGGAAAGAACGAATGGATCTCGGATATGCCAATATTGGGGTGAGAAAGGAATCAAATTAAGTGTTTTTTATTTGGTTAAAAGCATAAAGGATGGCAATTTACTGATTATTTATTGTATCTTGTTTAGTTGATGAAAGTTTAAAGGAAAATAAAATAAAATGAAAAAAAAATCCATGGATTTATTTCCTTGTTTTTGGTTGATGGGATAAAGGAAGAAAAAATTAAGAAAAATATAAATAAAATTTCTAATTGTTAATTTTATTTGATTGATATACTAAGTTATGAACTTTTTTTTTTAAATAAGCTCATATTTTTCTATTTATAAGTGCTTATTCTATGATTTGTACTTAGATAAAGTTTCATGGTGATGAAATATGCAACGTAAATCATGTGACCTTGACAATTATTAATTGTTTGTCATTGACATCTCCATATATGGATGCTGATATGGCTTTTTTGATGGGCTAATATTGGTTGAGTGAGAAAATTTATCTTCTAACATATGACTATTATAGTCAACTAATTTTGTTATATCAGAAAAATGTGTTAGAAAAGTCATGTCAAGTTTGAAAGATGTCTACTCATCATGAGGCTAATGGTCTTAAAGCTCACATGTCACATGACATCTTTTTATCGAAGGACTTATTTGGGAATATGGGTTTATTTCGATATAATAATAAATGATTAAAGTATTTTTGAGAAATTTGGGATAGTTCAAGAGCTTATAGTTTGCAATGCTTGGATAATGTTAAAAAGTGGAGGATATTGTACGTCTTCCTCGAAACTTAGCATCAAGTTAAGTTATTTGAAGGACATGAGATACTAAGGTTAGGGAGAATGTAAATTATAGCAAGGCAATTTGAGGTCCAACTGACCTAATTAGAGATTGAAAAGGAAGGAGTGGTTGAGTCAATTAAATGTATGGAATTAGGGAAAGGAATGGTTTTGAATGCCATATGATTTGTTGGAGGTTATCAAACATAGGTATCCCCACAATGTGTGGTGCTTATGTTGCGTTGGTAAAAGAAGTACACCTTTATGGTTGGTTTTGTTTGGTATATCTTTGAGAGGATTTTTCCTTCCTATTTTTCTTGTATTACAAGTAAGTTTTTATTTCCTTCTCTTCATTTTTCTTTAATATTTTTTGTTTTCAAATTATTCATAGATTAAGCAAAGCCTTATGATTGCGGTATGGATCAAGGCTTTGTTTTACCTCTCATTCACTCTAATTTGAAAATAGTGAATAAATGGATTTTGAAAGGAAAGAAAGAAGTAAAATTTATTTTACCTTCTCCTTTTCTTATCCACAACAAAAGCTTTTATGTCCCTTCCATTCATCTAGTTTAAATGTATTGTAAGGTGTTTTTGTGATTTTACCACTTATGTAAGTTGTTTAAAGTTGCCAGTAATCTTTCAATTGTTGCAATTTTATCACTAAACTTTTTATACTTCTAATTTTGGAGCAAGTTTGGTCAAGGTATAAAGATGGAGAAAAGATATAGAAGTCAGAGAATATTCTATTAGAAATTGTTTTGAAAATGACATGGTACAAGAAAAATGACCAATTTGGAGAGGTCTAACAAAAAGTATGATGTGACATTATATTAGGCAAAAAATGTCACGATGAAGAAAAAGAAATAAAAATTACAAGAAAATGACTAAAATACTAAATGAGCTCTTGAACTTTCTCACATTTTGTAGGTAAGCCTTAATATTTTTATTATATCTAAATAAAACTTTAATCTTTAATTTGTATTCAAATTGTTCTTTTTTTTTTTTAATTATAGTCAACATCTGTTGGATTTTTTTTTTGTTACTATGGAAGTTTATGTGGCCTAAAATTTACACAATTACTTTTGGAAAAATAAAAAATAAAAAAAATTATTAGTTTTTGTATATATCATCAAGCCACATCAGCTTCCATGTGGACCAAAAACTCTAGTTGGCATTGACTATAATAGAAGTCAACATTTTGTTTCAAATGAGGGTTTTTTTTTTTTTTGACAAATTGAAGGATAAAAATTTATTTGGGTATGATAAAAACATGAGCTCACCTAGAAAAAATTAAAAAGTTGATTTTTGTTTTGTTATTTTACCTCTAAGAAAATGTTGGGTTTTAGCATAAATTAAACATAGGGAAAGGACTTAATTGGATGGAGGAAATTTTATTTGAGAGTAAATGGAAGAGAAAATGACTTCGACCTTTTTACAAACTTGAAATCAGATTAAATTTTTTATGATGTGGTATTATTGAAAAAATGACAAAAAATGTAATATTTTAAATACACGACATAATACATATGGATCAAACATAATTAATTGAAAAAAATTCGAATTCGACTTGATTATTCTTAAGTTGAGTTCAAATTCGAGCAGTTTAATTTATGGATCAAGCCAAATTCGAATATTTTAATATTTAGCTTGAGTGACTTATTAGCTTATTCAAGTTTTTTTATTATTATATCTTTTTATTATTTTAATTATAAAATTACAAAATTACCCTTCAATATATATACCTAAATCTACCTTAAAAATCTTGTACCAAAAAACCTAACTTAAAAATCCCTAAATTTATCTTTCCTCTGCTTCCTTCCTTATCTGTGCTCTCACTTTGTCAGTCCATCCCTCCTTTCCCATTCCCAACCCAAACAAAGTTCTATGAATCTTAAGCAAATAAAATCCAAATAATCAAATATAAAAATTTGTAAACAAGAAAAAGGTGGAGAAATTCAAGCCATTCTACTACTAGTAAAAATAAAAAAAAAGTTTAAGAATATTTAAAAATTTAATTCCTTTATAATCTCACTTGTTTTTTGGAAACTCAAAATTTGAAAAACACTTAGCATCAAACACATTATTATAACTCATCAAACAAAATCAATCAACTATAAATTATTAATGAAAAGATAATTACTAACTTTTTTAATAGAATAAATCAAAAGAATAAAAACTGTAAACATTGGAAAGAATTTATTAACTGACATTTGAGTAAAATAAACATTATTATGGCACTCAATCTGAGATATAAGGATCACTATAAGGGTGTGCAGTTGCCGATAAGAGATTGAGAGAAAGAGGAAGAATTTAAAAGAGAAAAAGGCCGTGAAGGGTTGGGAATGGGAAAAGAGAGATGGACTGACAGAGTGAGAGAACAAACAGAGAGGGAGGCAGAGGAAAGGTAGATTTAGGGATTTTCAAGTTAGGTTTTTTGGTACAAGCTTTTTTGAGTCTTGATTTAGGAAATTTTTAAGGTAAATTTAGGTATATATATTAAAGGGTAAATTTGTAATTTTATAATTAAAATAATAAAAAAATAATAATACAAAAACTCAAATAGGCTAACAAGTCACTCTAGGTAAATATTAAAATATTTGAATTTGGTTCGATTCAGAAAACCTAACTTAAAAATCCCTAAATCTACCTTTTCTCTGCTTCCCTCCCTATCTGCTCATTCACTCTGTCAATCCATTTCTCATTTCCCATTCTCAACCCATTACGCCCTTCCTTTTTTAGATTCTTCCTCTTTCTCCCGATCTCATATCGGCAACTGCACACCTTTCTAGCAATCATTATGTCTTGGATTGAGTGGCATACTGATGCTTATCTTACTCAAAAGTTGGTTAATAAATTCTTCCCCATGTTTATAGTTTTTGTTCTTTTAATTTATTCAATTAAAAAAGTTAGTAATTATCTTTTCATTAATAATTTATAACTGATTGATTTTGTTTGATGAGCTATAATGATGTGTTTAAGGCTAAGTGTTTTCTAAATTTTGAGTTTTTAAAATACAAATGGGATTATGAAGGAATTGAATTTTTAAATATTCTTAAACTTTTTTGTTTCTTGCTAGTAGTAGAGTGGCCTGAATTTCTTCACTTTTTTCTTGTTTAAAGATTTTTATATTTGATTATTTGGATTTTATTTGCTTGGGATTCATAGAGCTTTGTTATATAGTATATTAATCAAATTTGCAATTTTTTTTATCAAGCTTAATTGAGCGAGTTTGAGCCCAGCTTTGAGCCTTAACTTTCGATTTGAGTTTGAACTCAAGTATCACAATGTATTGACTTGGCTCGGCTCGATTACACCCCTACTAACCACAAGTAGATTGGTGAATTTGCACCTTGTTTAGACTCTTGTTAATATGGAATGCTTTAATCACTTTGTTGTATTGTTCAAAAAGTTTTATTTATACTTTTATGTTGAAACTGCTTCTAATGTTGGCTGTATTTGCCTTGTAGCTTTATGTTCTTTAATGTGCTATAATGGATCCCCATAGCCTTCCATTTGAAGTTGGTCAACTAGTTGAGACAAGATCTTTTTTGGCTGGTTATCGTGGTGCATGGTTTAGATGCAAGGTATATGATTATGTAGTAGAAACATGTCTTTTATTTCTATTAAAGAAAAACATTTGCTTTTTATTGTTACGTGTACTTGCTTGTTGGTTTAAGGAAAATGGCTTAGAAACATAGAAATTTACATTAAGATGCAACAAATTCTTCCAAGATAATAGAGAACAAAATTGTCAAATCAACTTCGTAGATCATATGAAAAATTTTGTTGCATTCATTTCATTAGATCCTCTTTCTATTAACAATTTTAATGATGATCGATCTTGAAAATTTTTAGGTCTTTTTTTTTTTTAATTTAAAATTTTTGCCTTTACATTGAGTAAGGTTCTGTTGGATAAACTGAAAAATTAAGTGCTGAAAAATTTAGTACTGAATTTTTATACTAAATTTGATAAGTATTGAATTTGAATTATAAAAACTATTTGGTATTTTACTGAAAATTAAATGCTGAATATAAATATATTGTTTGATAACTCTAAAATATTGAATTCTGAAAATTTTCATTTTATCTTTTTTACTTTCATTTTCATTGTAGATAATGAAGTATTTTTATGGGATAATAATTCATAAAAAAATTAAAAGAAATATTTATTGAATTTTTTCTGCATTAAGTGATAAGTAGGTTTATACCGACTTATCTTATTCAATATTTTTTGGTTGAAAAAATTCTTTTAAATGGATTTTAAAATGTGTTATCAAACGCATTGAAAAAAAATGAAATGTTGAAAATTTTCATTTTAAATGCAATGAAAATTTTCAACGGTTTATCAAACAAGGCTTAAGGCTCTTTTGACAAATGATGTTCATGGTGATTTACCTTTTGATTGGATTGTCATGCTTGGTAGGAACTTGAGGAGCCTTAACGGAGTGTTTGGATGCGGTATTTATAGAAGGGATTTCATTTCAATTAAGGTTTTCAAAAGTCTTGAAATGAATTTATTAGTTTGGGTTAAAAAAAAGGTGATTTTTCAAAATTCTTCCAAATCTTCTCTTATTTTACTCTACATTACCCACCCTAAAATACAAAACTAAAAAACAAAATATAATTTTATTTAAATATAATATATATTTTTATTTTTTCATATTATTAATATTATTTATACATTTTGACAAATCTAATGATATCTATATTGCATTTTTTATATATATATTTTTTTCTCTAATACCATTATTCTTCTTTTACGATTATTTTTTTATCTCATCAAATTCTAATATTTTAAATTTCTTTTTAAAACCTATTTATCCAAACAATACAATCGCAAATGCTAGCATTTTGAATTGATGCATTTTAAAATGCATTCATTTCAATTTCAAAATTTCTCATCCAAACGCACTTTAATGGTTTTTCCAATACTAAAAAAGCCATTGAACTTTATCATTTTACTTAAGCTCCTATATTTTCACCATACCCAATTAAACCTTTATATTTTAATTTTACCTAAATAGATTCTTATCTCAACCAAAAGGATAGCCTTTGTTATCGTTAATGCGAGCTTTATGTTTTGGTCCACTTGAATGGTGTGGAAAAAAATTGAAATTGAAAAACATTAATAAGCTTTTGTTTTAATGTGGCTTGATGACATGGGTAATGGCCTTGTTAGCTTGGTTTTGCCTCATAACAGTCGAAATGGATCTAGGGTAAAAGAAAAGAATTTTATTTTTTATTTTTCAACATATATATTTTTTAATTTTGGGCCACATCATTAGGCCATGTCATCTTCCATGTGGACAATTAAAATTCAAATGGAGTTGACCATAATAGAAGTCAACCTTTCATTTGAAGTAAGGGTTTATTTGGGTACAATAAAAGTACAAGGGCTTACTTAAGAAAAGTGGAATAGTTCAGTGCTTTTCTTTTAATATTTTAGCCTTTTCTTTTATTTCATTTTCTCAGTAATCAGTATGTCCATGTCTTCTAACATTGTAATCCCAAATTTAAGATTGTAGTAGCACCAAGAATAATGTAAAAAAACCCAGATTTAAGATCTACACTTCTTTCATAAAACACCTAATAGATAAAAAAAGAATAAAATAAAAATAAATATTCTCATACTTTACCACAATCCATAACAAAAGAAATCAATAAGAATTAGATAACATAAGCAATTATAAAACTCAACTTTAGTTGTGAACCCAACAAAATATCCATACACTTAACAAAAATTAGGCATAACATCTTAATTCGTGAAGATTTGATTGAATAATTGGTGAGTTAAAGTGGAGGGGATAGAAGCAAGGGTGATAAGAGAGTGGCAAAGTGAAAAGACAAGAAAGTACATTGGGGGCGAGACCAATTGGGCCACTAATGAGAAGGAAACATGGAGAAAAGAAAAGAGTGGCTTGAGCAAAAGTTTGTTTGGATTTGAAAAGATGTGGAATTAGGTCTCATTTCTTGTTTAATTTTTTAAACAATGCAAACAATTATAGTGCCTAAAGATGCATTTTTAAAAGATAGGGGTTGAATTAGACCTAGCAATTCATGTATCCACGTCGTGTAAAATATTGATAATTCATGTATTTGTGTCATGTTACACAAAAATTGCATGTTATAATTTGTGTTGACATGAAAATATGAAACATATTTTTTTGGTTTTTTAAGCCCATATATGGTTTTTGTTAAAATGTTAAACTGTATCAACTTTGTGTCTTTGATTCGTATTATTTTCGTTTCATGTTACTATGTCGTGTTTTAGATTACCAGTTTTAGGTCGAAATGTCTTTTTAGGATGATTTCAAGAGATTTTTAGATTTTACTCATGGTTTGGATGCATAAAAAAGGGAACTACAAATGCTTGTGATTTAATTGAAGACATTTTTGCCAATAGGAGAGCAATATTGATGAAGACTAAAGAGGAAATGGATGAAAACTACAAAAGTAATTTTTTATTATGAAATGCATTGAAGAGATGGCCTTGAATAGGGCATGATGATGCAATATAAAGTCATAGAGTTTATTAACATGGTGGGAGGACATAGTTTATTATTTTAGTTTAGTTTTTGGCAATTGGTCTTATAATTTGATGTTAGTTGGCATAAAAATATGTTGTTTTCGATGGAAATGTTCTAAATCATTTGGTTGGTTCTTTAGTGATATTTATTAATCATCATTGAAAAGGTAACAAACTAACTATGATAAACAATCCCTCAAAGTAGGAGGGGGTGAGTAAATCACTTTTTATAACTTGATGTCATGAGGAAAATTTTCAAAAAGTAAAAAAAAGAATGATATCAATCATTTCCTTATCTTGCTAGGATTTTGGCACTCTTTTGTATTAAAATTAAAATTTCATCTTACAATTTTAAGATGTTTCAAAATAATTCTCATTTTGTGAAAATGGATTGTGTTTTCTTGAAATTACCTTTATTGAAATATTAATCAACTCAAAAAATAAATTTCTTTGGATGGGCCAACCTTAAACTTTTGATAGCTAAAGTTGGAAAGTAAAACACAAAATAATCATGCATTAAATTTTTGGCTATTTGCAAAGTGGACATTCAGTTTGACACATAAAGATTATATTATGCTCCAATTTAAAACACCAGTGTGTTGATTTTAAGGTTGACATTTTTGGATTAAGCGTTATCAGCATCAATCAAGTCATATTGGAATAGTTAGCATATTATATGCAAATTCATCAACCTTGTCAGGTTGATTTGAAGATAAGCATTAGACTAGCTTAGTTCACAAATACATTAAAGGATTTGATCTTTTTAACATGTGTTCTACATTGATGGAACTAGAAAAACAAAAGGTTTGATATTTGGAATTGGGTGAGAAATCTATAATGTGAAGTATTTTAAAGATGGCAAGCAAAGTGACCATAAATGTAAAGAAGTTGCATAAGCAATATTATTGATTATGAAGAAAGACAATTGGGTGACTCTTGGTCAATCCATGGTTGTTGGGAGAAGAGGTAGAAGAATTTGTAATAATGATGTTAGCTAGAATGTAAGTAGAATTTTTATTGGCCAAAATGGAGGTTGTTTTGGGGTAGGTTTCTAGCATGTTAAGTGTTTAAAGTCTTTGGTTTTGGCCCCATTGCATTGAAGTTAGTGGACGTGCTTAGTAACTAGTGTTGGCTTGAGGAAGAAGTTAAGTGTTGGGTAGCCTAGATTTTATATTTTGGGTGATGGGGAAGGTAATAAAACCATAATGATTGATAAAGTGCTAGTGATTAGAGTTCATCAAATCTTGAATGTTGTCCCATTGGACAATAATTAATGGTTTTACAGGTTGTATGATTTTTTATAAAGTTTAAAATAACCTCATCTTTATACTTAATGGCTGTAGATATTGAAATATAGCATTGTCGGGGGATCAATCAAATGTGACACAACTCAGTTACTTGTTTAATTTATGTCAACATAAAACTTTTGCATGAGTCATAAATTCTTTAATTTTCTTCTTTTTTTGTGATCTATACTTCTTTTCTACATGTTTGCTTTGTGATTCTTTTTCTATTATAAGTCTTGGATACTTTTACCATTTCTTGTGTACATAATCTTACATTTAGCATGCTTTTGTTTAGTTTTTATGTTAAACTCCCATTTGATGATAGCTTTTGGAAATATGCATACATTAATCATCCTATTGAGAATGAAAGGCTTATTGAAAGAAAAAGGGTATTGATATTTTGGCTATCGAACTTTTTCAAAATGTTACTTTTAAGCCATCAAACTTTTGTTTTGGTGGGAATTGTGTATTTCACTTTCAACCCTCTATGTTTGTTTCATAATTATTTCATACTTTATGGTCTCAAGAATTTTATTTAACTTTTATTTTCATGATTCATGTCACATATTCTTTAATTAAAAATGGGGTTTGTCGTTTTTAATAGATTTCTAAATATTGACTAAATATGTGCACTTAGAAGCTTTATTAAAACTTAAGTTAACTAGGAGAAATGTGCAACAAGTGGTATAAAAATTTTAAACTCAATCTAATTGCTCTCTCTCTCTCTCTCTCTCTCTCTCTATATATATATATATATATATATATATATATATACATTTTACTAGGCCAATATATATTTCATTAATAATCTACAAGGATTACAATGGATAAAGACTAGCAACAATGCTAGCAGCAACAATCTGCTGCATGAGCAAAGTCACCAAGAAAACACCAAATAAATGTATAAACACCACAATCCTTAAAAATTACAAGCAGGAAACTCCTCAGAGCAAAAAACTAAAACTCAAACACCTAAAGATTGGAAAACACCTTGAAATGTGAATGAAAACAAGGGAAAAAAGACTCCAACCTGATTAAACCTCTTCTAACAACCTTCAAAATAAATCCAGTGAATAGGAAAATGTAAATTTCTTAAAGCATCATCTTTAAAACCTTCCAAGACTTCTGAGAAACTTCTTAAACCCAAATGTGCATGTGTTTATGTAAATTGTATTTTCTTCATAAGGGGTCCTTTGATTTGCTTCTAGTTTGCATAGATCCTTCCTATTTTTCTTTGATAAAAATTGTTGTCTTGTGGAATATGATAAAGGAATCTCCTTTTAGAAACCACATCATATGCCATTATTTTATGTATAGTTTTAGAAAGAATATTGTTATTGAGTCAATTACTACAGTATTTCTGTTTATAGTTTGAAGCTTGCTTCTCTTTGAGTCATTCCTTGTCAATGTTGATGTTAGAGGAATAATTGTGGGAGATAAAATTTGCTCCTTGATTATCTCTGTGTTTTCCATCAGATTAAGGAAATTGGTAGGAGGAACAAGGAATTGGGGCATGCCTTGGAATATATTGATTTTCCAGATGAAAGTAAGTTCTCTATATGGCTAAGCTATTGTTTGTTTTAAAATGTGTCAAAATTTGTGTACTTCTTATGCATTATAAATATTTGTTTGCTAGAGATGACCTTATTGAATGAGAAATTAAAATGTGTTGTTGTTTATTGAGAGAAATTTCAGTGTTTTTGTAGAAAACTTAGAGAACAATTGTCTTTTTTCTCTTATTATTTTAGAATGAAGGAGTACATCAAAATAAATAGGTATAGTAATGTTCCTTATTAGGAAACAAAAATAATAAATGGAAAGAGAATTATTCTATTCTAAAATAGAAGCAAATCCTTAAAAACTTGACAATTAGAATAGTTGACTAAATTAGAAGAGTTAAGAAATAACTGCACTAATGAAGGAGAATCGGATTTCTACACTCCTTAAGCTGGTTTATGAATGTTAATCATACCCGCCTTGAATTTCAATCCACCAAAGATGCTTCTAGTTTAGTTAGCACATTTGCAATTTGAGAACTTGTGGGGATATAGGCCAGTTTGACCGACCCATATTCTATCTTTTCCTTTCTAAAATGTCGGTCCAAATCTATGTGCTTGGTTCTGTCATGATAAACAGGATTTTTGGCAATACTTATGGTAGCCTTGTTATCACAAACCAAAGTCATAGATGTCATAGTCTAAACTTTTAATTCTCCAAGTAACCTCATCAGCCAAATTCCTTTACATATAACATAGCACATTGCTCTAAACTCTGCCTCAGCACTGCTTTTAGTTACAACAGTTTGCCTTTTACTTCGCCAAGTGACCAAATTGCTCCAAACATAAGTGCAATATCCTATAGTGGACCTTTTATCTTTAACTGATCTAGCCTAGTTAGCATACATGTACATCACAATTGCCTTGTCCATTGACTTCTTAAAGTATGGACTTTCACCAAGACTTTTCTTTAAGTACTGTAGGATGCGATGAATAGCTTTGAGGTGCTCCTTGGTTGGATTATTCATGTACCTACTCAACATCCCCATTGCAAACTCGATGTTAGGTCGTGTGTGGAAGAGATAAATGAGCTTCCCAACTAGTCTTTAGTATTGCCCTTTGTTTGTGAGAGAGCTTCCATTTTCACTACCAATTTTATTGATTGAATCCATGGGTGTATCAGCAGGTTTGCATCCATTCATGCCAGCCCTTTTTTTTTTTTGTAGATCAAATACATACTTACATTGAGACACTGATATTCCTTTTTTAAACCTAGCAATTTCCATCCCAAGGAAATATTTAAGGAACCTCTAGTTCTTTATTTCAAACTCCTTTGCAAGGAGTTTCTTCAAATCATCTATTCCTTGTGGTCTCCAATGATTATGATATCATCCACATAAACAATAAGAATGACTCTTTTTCCTTCAATAGTGAATTTCACAAACATGGTGTGGAAACTGAATGTATATTGAAAAACTGCTTCATCAGAATTATACAAGAATCTTAGGTTTATATACAACTAACTAGGGGTTAAACTAGGAAACTAAATCTTCCTTAATTCTAGGGATACAAATACTTAATTCTAGAGATACAAATATAAATACACAGATTACAAGATTACAACCAGCTGTAAATAAGTGTTTTCCCACACTCCCCCTCAAGCTGGTGAATAGGTGTTTTCCATTCCCAGCTTGGAAATAATTTCTTGAAATGTTGCACTGCTGAGACCTTTAGTCAACACATCTGCAAGTTGACCCTTGGTTGATACATAAGGTGTACAAATCAACCCACTGTCTAGTTTCTCCTTTATGAAATGCCGGTCTACTTCAATGTGTTTTGTTCTGTCATGTTGCACAGGATTGTGTGCAATGCTTATTGCAGACTTGTTATCACAGTAGAGTCTCATTGGTCCATCCCACTTGATCTTCAAGTCTTCTAGGATAATCTTTAACCATGGTAGTTCACAAATTCCTTGAGCCATTGCTCTGAACTCTGCTTCAGTACTTGATCTTGCCACCACATTCTGTTTTTTACTCCTCCAAGTCACAAGATTACCACCTAAGAAAGTGCAGTAGCCTGAGGTGGATCTTCTATCAGTTACTGAACCTGCATAATCAGCATCTGTATATGCTTCTAGAACTAACCCTGAATTTCTTTTGAATAAGATACCTCTCCTAGGATTGGCCTTCAAATAGTGCAATATACGGTAGACAGCCTGTAGGTGCACTTCTTTAGGACTATGCATAAATTGACTTACCACACTCACAGCATATGCTATATTAGGTCTAGTATGTGAGAGATAAATGAGTCTTCCAACTAATCTTTGGTACATCTCTCTATTTATAGCAGCATCTTCATTAGCTTCTCCAATTTTATGATTAGGATCTATAGGGGTATTTGCAGGTTTACATGCAAGCTTCCCAGTTTCCTTCAGAAGATCCATCACATATTTCTATTGTGAGATAAAAATACCATGCCGTGAGTGAGTTACTTCAATTCCTAGGAAGTACTTCAATCTCCCTAGCTCTTTTATCTCAAATTCTCTAGCCAAACACTGTTTTAGAGATTCTCTCTCTTTTTCATCATCTCCAGTTACAATTATATCATCAACATACACTAATAGAACTGTGACTCTCCCTGAATCAGAGTGCTTGATAAAATGTGTGATCTCCTTGACTCTGTTTATATCCCATTGCTAGCATCACTTTGGCAAATCTCCCGAACCAAGCTCTAGGAGACTGTTTAAGGCCATATAAAGCCTTTTTTAGCCTGCATACTTTGTTTGCTTCTAGATAACCTCCAAATCCCGGTGGAACCTTCATATATATTTCTTCTTCCAAATCACCATGTAAAAAAGCATTCTTTACATCAAATTGTTGAAGCTGCCAATTGTAATTTGCAGCCAATGATAACAAAATCCTAACTGTATTCATCTTGGCAACTGGAGCAAAAGTTTCCTGGTAATCCACTCCATAGGTTTGAGTGTAGCCCTTAGCCACTAACCTGGCTCTGATACCATGTGGAAACTGAATGTATATTGAAAAACTGCTTCATCAGAATTATACAAGAATCTTAGGTTTATATACAACTAACTAGGGGTTAAACTAGGAAACTAAATCTTCCTTAATTCTAGGGATACAAATACTTAATTCTAGAGATACAAATATAAATATACAGATTACAAGATTACAACCAGCTGTAAATAAGTGTTTTCCCACACATGATATTATCAAATTGACATTAAAGGAATTCATACCTCTTCGCTACCTTGGTCAGTCATTCAAATCAAGCCCGAGGAGACTATTTATGTCCATACAAAGATTTTTGGAGTTTGTACACTTTGCCCATGTTGACTTGCCTTTCAAAACTAGGGGGAATTTCCATGTAGACATCCTCCTCCAAGTCACCATTTAAGAATGCATTCTTGATGTCAAGCTAGTGGAGGGGCCGATCCAAGTTGGTTGCTAGTGACGAAAGAACTCTGATTGAATTGAGTAACACTTGTAGCCCATTTGGTTTTGGGAATAACCAAGAAAGATGCATTTTAAAGCTTTGGGATCAAGCTTGCTGTGGTTTTGTTGGTTGATATGAGCAAAGGCAATGCAACCAAAGAGTTTGATGGGAATGGAAGAGATTAACCAAGTTTGTGGGTAAGAGGCAAGGAGAGTTTGACAATGTGGTTTAAAGCCAAGAACTCGAGAAGGCATTTGGTTAACCAAATAAGTTGCAATGAGGACAGCTTTTCCCAAAAAATGTTTAGGCACATTGGAAGTCAACAAGAGAGATTTAGTCACTTTTATCAAATATTTGTTTTTGCATTCGGCAACTCCATTCTGCTATGTAGTGTCAACACAAGAGCTTTGATGGATAATGTCATGATTGGTGAGGTAAGGGCTGAGAATAAAGTTGAAGTATTCCCTCCCATTGTTGGTTTTGAGGACTTAGATTTTGGCTTGGAATTGAGTTTGCACCATGCTAGTGAAGTTTTGAAAGATTTGGCCAACTTCGGATTTTTCTTTCATATGGAATACCCAAGAGAGTCAAGTATAATCATCAATGAATGTAACAGACCACTTAGAACCTGTGATATTATTACTTCTTGACGGTTCCCAAATGTCATTGTGAATCATTAAGAAAGATTGAGATGGTTTATCAGAAAGGCTAGGGTAGGTATATAGACTGTGTATGGAAAGTTGACAAATTTCACATTGAAAATCTTTAGGGATTTTATTGAATAATGAGGGAAACAACTTTTTTAGGTACAAAATATTTGGATGTGCTAGTCTGTAATGCCATAACATGATAGGGTCATCCTTATTAGTATCAAAGGCTAAGGTTGTACAAGAGTTTTGTGGTCTCTCAAGTGCATCATCTTGAAGAAGGTAGAGCCCTACACACATTCTAGCACTACCAATCATCCTCCTCAAGCTCAATTTCTGAAATTCACACAAGTTGGGAAAAAATTTAGTGACACAACATCTATCCTTCGTAAGCTTACTGATGGAAAGTAGGTTACAGCTTAAATTAGAGACATGAAGGACAAAGTCGAGTGTTATGTCTTTTGAAACCACAATAGAACCTATTCTTGCCACCTTTGAGAGAGAGTTATCAGTGATTTTTACAGCAGAACTATCATAGCAAGGTCTATAAGGTGTTGAATAAGGATGCATCTCCAATCATGTGATTTGATGCTCTTAAATAAAAAATCCGAGATTTTGTATTTCCTCGTTGAACAGTTAAGGCATTTAGGAAATAACCTTTTTGTGCTAAGGTACTGTTTCCAAATGTTGCAGAGTTGTTTTGAAGGGTTTGTTGGAGGTTTTTTTGCAAAATTTCAAGTTGTTCCTTGCTGAAGGAACTTGGTTCTGTTTGTGGTTGAGGTTCGGTGGCTGCCACATTTCCTTGTCCATCTCTTTCTCATGCAAGTTTCCAGTTGGGAGGCTTCCTATGGATCCTCCAATGTCTCCTTAGTGTGCCCGGTAATCAGAAGAATTGGTCTTTTGGGAACATTGGGAACAGCAAAGTTGTCCTCCAAGTGTCAGCGTGACCTCTGAGAAAGAGTTCTTACTCTTGCTGGCCATGATGGAAACTCATTTGGCTACAATCTAATGGTTCAGGCTGACTAGCTTTGATACCATGTAGAAAACCTAGAGAACAACTATCTTTTTTCTCTTATTATTTTAGAATGACGGAGTACATTAAAATAAATAGGAATAGTGATGTTCTTTATTGGGAAATAACTTATAGGAAACAGGAAACAAAAATAATAAATGGAAAGAGAATTATTATATTCTAAAATAGAAACAAATCTCTAAAAACTTGACAATCAAAATAATTGACTAAATCAAAAGAGTTAGGAAATAACTGCACTAACGTATGAGAATCGGATTTCTAAAGTTTTCATTAATCTATGCCTTTTTACAGAAATACGTTGGACAAAGTTATATCAAAAGGGTGGTTAATCAAAGGACGGGAAGCGGACCTTGATGGTGCGCCCTTGCTTTCCTCCTGTTTATCGTGAAAATCAAATGCCTGATGTCAATACCATCTCAGAGGTGATTGTCATCATCAATGATGTTTGGAAGGTGGGTGATTTGGTAGATTGGTGGATTGATAATTGCTTTTGGTCTGGAAGGATAACTGAAAAGTTGGGGGATGAAAAGGTTAAGGTAATATAGTTTCATCTATGCTTTGATGTTTCTAATAGATTGGATTTCTTGCATTTTATTTCAAGAGTCATTTGGAAAAGGCATCGACATTTTGTTTCCTGTAATAGTAAGCTCATATCATATCAGCTATGCTACAATTATGGTTCTATAAGATATTTTCTTAAACACTCACTTGTCACTTCTATCCTACCTAGTAGCCACATCTCTTATGTTCCAAATCCAAACATTCTCTCAAGTTGGGATTAGGTGGAGTAAATCTCAATTCAATATATTTCTCATATAGAACTATTTTCTTATGAGTATTAGTTTGTAGTGTTTATGAGAAATAAGGTGATTGTATATTGTTCCCATCTAGCTATGGTAGGTGTCCACAAGTGCCTGTCCATATAAACAGTTTGTTTAGTTTGTTATGCTCCTTTTCAGTTTAAACTTTAAACACTTTTCTCATTGAGAATTAATTATGATTGTTGATTCTGTTCTAATGTTTTTGGTTTTATGTGTTTGCTTCTTGTTTGCATAGATTGAGTTGCCACCTCCTCCTGTGGGTGAAGGGTCTTCATATGAGGTTTTGTGCAAAGACTTACGTCCATCGTTGGATTGGTCTGTGAGTGAGGGCTGGAAGTTGCTTCTTCCCAAGGTTGCAGCCTTACACTCTTTCTCCTCCCTTGCATTTTTATCTGATCTAATCTTGGTTTTTTCCAGGCTTAGTATTTCTTTTGAATTTGTTCAACACCCAATATCCATTGATGCGAGAAGGCATAACAACTTGATATAGAAATGACATGAAAACAAAGTTTGATGTGATAGAAAATCATGAAAACATAGTCAGGGAACTTAGCACATTTATAGATTTGTCTGAAAGTTTCACTTACTTTGTCTCCATAGTTTAACCCCTGACCTTCAGAATTCTTGTTATGAAGTTTCTTTCATTTTGACAATTGTTCTCAGTCTTTGGAATTTAAAAAGCAGTTCTTTGGTGCAAAATATGTCTTGTCATCTGTGGACATATTTTATCCTATTATGTCTAAGGCAATTTATGTTGACATTGAGGTGCCTATTGTAAACTTAAATGCTTATCAATTTTTTTCCCAATTAACTTTGTTATTATAGGAGAATAAATATCATCTTTGTTGTGCTCGGATAGTCAAGTCTCTTAATCGAGGTAAGAATGCTTCTAATCATTCTTTTGGCTGCTCAGTGTTTTGATTTTTTATGATGTGTTATGTTCATGTACAGAAAGAATGGGTTGTTTTCCTTTTGATTTATCTGTATTAAACTTTTGGCAAGTTTAATGTAGTAAGCTTATTGCAAACTGGAAATTTGCCTGGCATCTTTTAATTTAAACGAGTAAATATTTCTTTAAAATTTTGAAACTAATTTCTGTCATGTTACTATCAATCTGATCATATTTTGTTAGGAGTCATGGCTTTCTTTGTTAAGGAGGTAATATATATGGTCAAATTGTATTGTAAGTCCTTGTACTTGTCACAAAATGCAGATTTAATTCCTCTGCATTAATTTTAATATTTGGAAGTGGATTTTGAATTTCAATCCTATCATAAAAGGTATCAAAATTCTTTTGTTAAATTGTATGACATGGCAACTGACCAAATAATATGTCTTTTGACCCGATGATGTGGCATAATTTTTACTGATTAAATGTATCTATTTTTTGACATGTATTATTCTTCATTTTATGTATCACTTAAAAGACAAAATGATATCAAGCTTTGAAAGGCCTCTTCAGACTTCAGAACAGAAAAGACCTAATTCTCTATCTCAATGTCTGCAGCCAAGCTTTTATCTTCGCCATTTGACATGTTAATCAGATTTCTTCTTCACCTAGATCTCTACATATATCTTCAAAATTCTATTCATTCCAGTTCCATTTCCATTTTCTCTGCTTCATAAAAGGATTTTATGCAAATCGCAACAAAGATTTGAAAAAAGATAATCTACAGATATGGAGAAATGGAGAAGGTTTTGCAATAATTGCTTGAATGAGATGACATTTTCTCAGATCACCTTTTCCCCATCAATAGTTTTCCTGTTTCTTTTCTTAAAATTCACATTAATTTTCTCATTTGCTCAGTTTTATGGGTTTTGATACTTGTGTAGAAGAGTTTGAGGCACGAAAATGTTGGTTAGAAAGTTGAGTTTTTTCTTCAGTTGAGAGTAAAAATCAGTTTAATATGTGGAAGAGTGTTGAGGACGGGAATGAGGTTTCAGATTGAATTGTTCTCAAATAGTCCATTTCCAGATTTTGCTATGGAGATCAACCTTACAATTGGCCCTAGGTCCCAACTTTATTGTTCTTCAAGCTACCCATTTTCACCATCTTTGTAGTGTCCATCTGAACTTTCAATGAGATCCATTTTTCTGGGTAGCTGTTGTAGTGGTTGCAACAATGCCAGTGTTGCCATTGGTTATGCTTGTTCGATTTTTTTTTTTTTTTGGGGTTTAGGATTAGGGAAATCAGGAAGAAATTTAATCCATTTGGATTTTTTTGGATTTTACGTTAGGTTTAATTTGTGGTGATTTTTTTAATCCACATCACAAATATAGAGCCCATTTAATCAGTAAAAATTATGTCACATATTCGGGTCAAAAGACACGTCATCTGGTCAATTGACATATCATTCAATTTAACGGAAAAATTTAACATTGTTTATGAGTGAATTGAAATTCAAAATCCTAAAAAGTAGAGGTACTTCAAATATTAAAATTAATGTAGAGCAATTAAATCTGCATTTTTTGACAAGTATAAGAATTTATAGTATAGTTCGACATATATATATATATATATATAAAACAAACAATAACTCCTAAATTATACAAAATGATAACCCTGCTTAACGTTATATTTGGATAAATATTAATAAAGTAAAAGAAAAAAAGGAAAGGGTACATGTATATCTTGTTTAAATAGTTAAAATTAATAAAATAAAGGAAAAAGAATTTTAAAAACTATTGTTTGGATAAATAGTAAAAAAAACAAAGAAATAATTCATCATAATATTTCTTTTCAATTATTACCTTTTTTTTAATAAAGTAACATATAATATACAAATATATCTTTATACTACCTAATTTTTATAAACAAATCTTTTTGAACAAAATTAAACATGTTTAACACAGTAAGATATATTAGTTAGTTATTGATTTATTCTTAATTTTGCGTGTAATTTAATCTTTTAATTTATTCTGATAATAATTTAGCTTGTTTTGTTGTTAAGACCTGAAAAATCATAAAATATTTATAAATTATAATGTTATATAAAATACTCATAAAATGAATTATCTTTATAAAATGTGTTAGTTACATAATCAAATCTAATCTCATAATAAAAATATGGATATAATAATCTTTTCATAAAAATAAAATTTTTTCAACTTTCTTTTTCTTGGCTTGTTTCCCAAATTAAGATATTAAAAAAGTAAAGATTACAAAGTAAACCAAAAGTTATTGGGTTTTCATTTCTTTTCTTTCTTTTAAATTAAAAGTTTATCCAAACAAAAAAAAGATTTTTCTGTTTCCATTGCTTTTTTACTTCATTTTCCTTTCCTTTCCTTCACTTCTGTTTAATCCAAACATAGTGTAAAGGATTTCATATACCAACTTCTATAGATTAACTAACAAAAGAGTAACTGAATATATAATTTTTATTATTTAAATTGTATTAGCTTTCATTATTTAAAGATTTTATTTATGTTTATCATACAATTTATGTCATTTTTAAAATTTTGTTCAACACAGTAAATATTTATTACTCATGTTATCCCTCATCTATAATCTCTCTCTTCCATGGCTGCATTAAACTTCTTTTCAATCTCTTACTTTCTTCCAAAATGGTAAAAACATATATGAAAGGTCAAAATTTCTTTTAGAATTTAAAAATAAAATAAAATATAAATAAATAAATAAAGATGTCACATTTCAAATAGTGGTTGAGTCAAGTGTCAACCAAAAATGTAATGTCTTGTGGTTTCATAGGTCAAAAAATATTGTAGCCTATAAATTTGGCAGCTATTGTACTATAGCTGTGGTTAGGAAACCTAAAACTAGGTCAATGAGATGTAGGAAAGCTGTCTTCAAATTTCAATGGTTATCTTTGTGAAACTTCTCAAGGTTAGATGAAAAATATTGCTACTATATTTTGTACTATTGCTGTTTTTTTTAATAAATCTATAATTATTGGTGCACATTTGCATTTCCTTGAATTAGTTTGGTATTTGCTTTCTTTGATCTTTCACATTTGATCTCTTGTTGTTGTTGTTGTTGTTGTTTTGGATTTTTTTTTTTCTTCGGTGTCCAAGCTAGTTGGTTGTTCAAGTATGTTATTTTTACATAAAAAGCTTCCAGTCTTTAGCTTGGTTGTAGAGCAGTCATAGCAAAGTATAGAAGAAGCTCTATAGAGCAGTCATAACAAAGTATAGAAGAAGCTCTATGTAATTGTTAATACACTAACCTCGACTCTTAAATTTTGTTTGATAACCCTTCCCATCAGCCTATGTCTCATCAACATGATAGTAATTTACAAGTCTCTTAACTTTAGCTTTGCTGTTCTTCTGATATCTTTCTTATTGCTTATATAGTGACTTTTGATTAGCTAGGTGAACTTACCTTACATGGGAAATGGTGGTTGCAGGGGGTTCCCCAAACTTGATAGATCACACTTTCAGTGTGAGGGACAAGGATGCTCAGCCAACGGCTGGAGCATCAGTTGAGCATGAGGGTTCTTTATCTTCTCATATTTCATCTGGACCCTTACATCTTCCATATAAACGACTGCAACTGGCAAAGAAATCTTTGAATGAAAAACAGACAAAAACTAAAGAAAAAATTATAGGCTTGACTGTAGTGGATCATGTCCCTAGAAAAACCAGTTGCTCAGATAGTGTTTCCAGTTCGCCTATACAAGATACCTCAACACAAATGCCAGGAATGGCAATTCAAAGTGACAAATATGATGACAATGGATTAAAGAAGATGAAAATTGATGAAAGAATTTGCTTGAATTCCACATCCTCTGATACAATTGAAGCTGCAATTTTGGATTTGGAGGAACTTATTTGTCGTGTTAAATGGCTTAAGCATATCTTAGAATTCGGAACACCATTATCAGATAGTATGAAATCTTCTTGGAAGTTTATAGAACACCGAGCATCAAGGCCAAAATGAGTGCCTGCGCAGAAGGCTAGTTTGCATGATTCGTAACCATGTAGTATTCTTCATTTTTGTTTCAAGATTGGTGAAGGCAGTAGCATTCATATCTGAAGGAGCCGCCTGACTTGGATTGACAAAAATTTTTGTACTTTAGACATCTTCTTGTAGAGTATTTTTTCTTTTTTTTATAGAAAATATTCATGGCATCCAAAAGCTCAATTTTTTACTGTAGTTTTGACCCAGTTTTATTTTGCGTTTCATGCTTTGCATCCTGACGTCTGTTGGTTGAATGAATTGTAAATATTGGGTTGAGTTTTAGGTCCCAGCAATGAAGCAAAGTTTGAACATCAATATCTCGGTGTTAATGAAAACAAGGTATATTTTTAGCCAATGTGATAGTCTGGAGACATTTCATCTATAATTTTTTTTTTTATAAAATGTTTTAATTAATTAATTAATTACAATAAAGAATTATTTGTGGATTTTATATAATTTTTTTATGAATCTTATATAATATGAAATTACAATTGATAAATTGCACTGTAATAAGTAAACAGTAATTGTTTGGTAATATGTTTGGTAATAAGTAAAAGTTTGAAGTTTTGGCTTGGGATATTCTGTCCGTAGGAATTGAATGGAGATGTCAGAAGAAGCGATGCTAAATCTACTTTCACTACCCAAATCTCGGCTGTCTATTTGTCTTCAAAAAAGAAAAAAGAATTGATATTGTAAATAATGTCTAGTTTATTGTAATTAAAAAGATGCATGAGTCATGGTCTGCAATCTAGTTCTAAGACAAGTGGATCGAGAGACGTAATTTGTTCGTGTTAGTGCAGGCGAAGGATCGGAAAGGATTGAAACCAAGGTCCTAAAGGCATATATGAGCCTTAAGTGTGTAGACCAGGACTTAGGCTAAGGTGTGAAAGCATAATGAGGTGAGCAGCCTAGTGTCAAGAATGGAGATTGTTCGTTGGAAGGATCTAGAACACCCTAGAAGAGTGTCATGGGTAAACAGGCATAGAAGGCTCTAGATTAGCCTTGAGACAGGTCAAGTGCACTGGCGTAGACAAGTCTGGAGAAGCTTGGAGCCAAGGCAAGTGTATGGGCACCGAAAGTTCTAGAAAGCCATGGCGTGAGAACAGTAACGAGTAATATAACACCTAGACAAGAAAGACTTTAGAAGGCCCTAACTACCGACAGAGCAGTGACCAGATGGAAAAGGTTCTGGAACCTGTTAGGCACGGGCATTTAGCGGGAGCGTGTGAACTTTTCCAGACCCAAAGCTCAGCAGGGAGTTTGGAACAAGCTAGATTTTGCAAAGGACTTAGTCGACCTAGGAAGTGTCTAGGGTCCATGGAAGGGTTTAAAAGGCCTACGAGGGCCACACACTTGGATCAATAAGGGTCATATGTGCTAAGGAGGCTCAGGTATAAATAGGGGCCTTCCCTTTCATTTGTACATAAGTTAGAAGATAAGCAAGTAAGAAGAACCAAGTCATAGACTTGGGCATTGAGCAATTGTATATAACATCAAGTAAATTGAAGTTACAATTGCTTTAACTCTCATTCCTAGCTTTCTCGTAATCTCCTAGGGAGCCAACGGAGTACATGGCACAAGTGTTCGGCACAAAGTCAGAAAAGAGGCTAACTTAGGCACATGGATGGTAGTTTCGAGCCTAAGGTCGCATGGGTGTTAGGCTTAAGTTTTTGAACCGTGACAATTGGTATTAGAGTCAATTTCAATCGAAGTTGGTATCAGAGCAAGTTATGATCGTGGTGGGATCAAAACCTTTATTACAATTAGAGTTGGTGTCGATTTGGGTTACGCGAGTAGCTTATGTGCTAGTGTGCCAATTATGCTATCAACTTGCAATGGGGTTGCGTATTGCGATCATTATTGGTTGTCGATGCCAAGAGTAAGGCATAAGGACAGTTGAGTGCTCCTAAGAATGTGCAAAAAATCCTTAGTTCAAACTTCGTGTTTGTGGTTAAGTGCACAAGTGATGCGCAAAAGGGATGCCATCCACAAGCAAGGTGAGAAAAGCTAGTTCAAATGAGAGGTTGTCATACACCAAGGATCGCATACGAGTGCTAGACTCTGCACGAAAATAGTATGAAGAATGGTGAAAGTCGTGGGTAAGAGACAAGTGAAACAGTAGGGTATGGGACTTGAAACAAGAGCATTGCCATTGTCGAGTCAATGGTCGAGACTAAGTGCACTAAGTTTTCATAGCCTAAAAAAGGCTGAGTCTAAGGGTAAGGGCTTGAGTGGGGGAGACGAGAGTAGTAGTTCTTTAAAGGAAGAGGAGGCCAATGAAGAACCACAGCATTGGAAGGCAAGGAACAAGGGTTTGATCTAGGATAAAAGTACGAAAACCATGTCATTTAACTACTTCTTGTGCTCAGGATCGCATAAGGCCAGGGAACACCCACAACGAAAGAAGCCTGAAGCCATTGTGAGAACTTATAGAGAATCCAATGGAAAGAGTCGTGATCGTGGTTGAGCCAACAGGAAAGGATCTCTCAGGCTCCTAATGAGGGCAAGGTAAATGTGGCTGCGAAGAGCCACTGGCCCCAAAGATAGATGGTTTGTCAAAGAAAGGGTAATGGCCTAGATGTAACCGCTGCACACCTTACACCTGTGTGCATTACACACCTCGAATGGTCATTGAGGGCGGGAAAAGGATAAGGACACCATGGTGCGAAGAAGAAGGAAATGGCATGTCAAACATAGGCGCTACACGCTTCAACAAGCCAAGATCGTGAAAGCCTACATGACATGACTGCTGCACACCTCAAAGGGTCCATTGAAGACGGAGAAAAGGGTAATGGCATGTCACTAACTAAGGCATTGTTTGCTAAGCATTAGTTTTGTGGGAACCATATGGGATCAAAACCAAAACAAGGAACGACTGCGAAGGTGTACCGAGAACCATCATGTATCAATAACCATCGTGCACCAAGGACCATCAGAATAAAAGTGGGACATTGATCTAGCGTGTGCGTGCGATAAAGGAATAACATCCCCTAGTAACGAAGGTGTTGCTAGAATGAATGGGGGAGAATGTCACGATTCATGCGCAAGTCCTAAGACAAATGGGTCGAAAAAAGTAGCTTGTTCGAGTTGGTGAGGTCATATGGGCACTTACATTGTTTTTTCATAAAATTTATTTAAATAAATAATTAAAAAATTTAAAAAAAAGTAAAAAAAAAAAAACATAAGATGGCATGTTGAGCCCTCAAATAAGGATTAAACAAAAGTAAAAATGAGTCAAATTTATATAATAAATTGATGGTGGATAGATGAATTAAGATTATATATAAATATAGTATTTTTATAAAATTAAGATATTAAATAATAACTTTATTATAATACATATGTGAATATAAAATTAAATAAATAATTAAAAATATATAATATAATATAATATATATATATAGTCAAGGAAAGGCGAAACACCATAAACCATAGACTCAATTTTGACTCGATTTTGATTTTTGGTGAAAAAAATCTCGATTCGATCCCAAATAAAAAATATGCCTATCAGATCCAGACGAATCAAAACCCATTAGATACAAATTGTTTTATTATCCATACTTCCATTAACATTTTTCTTAAAATATTAATTTATTAATTAATTATTATTAATTATCTGATTAAAAAATAAAAAAAAACGAAATAAGGTACCACGTGTACACAAGCAAAGTTTTTTCTTAAAATTTATTTAATTAAAAAATGAGAGAATTACAAGCAAAAAAAGTAAAAAATGACAAAAATGCAAAAAAAAAAAAAGAGCAAAGTCGAGTTGGCACACAAAATTAGCACTAACGAGTTTTCCTTGCAAAATTTGTATCATAAATTTATATTTTTATTTTATTTTATTTTTTTCTCTTTTATATTTAATAATTTTTTGTTTATATTTTAAATTTTTAGAGCCAATTTGATATTATTTATTAAAAAATCTTGTTTTAATATCTTTTTCTTATACAATAAAAAACCTTAAAAAAAAAAAATCAAATCTAAATGTCACGTTGACACCTTTATAAATATCTTTTTTTTAACAAAATTATCTAAATAAAAAAGTTACAAAAAGATTTTATTAATCAATAATATAAAATTAGCTTGACCTATAACAAAAGTAAAAAAAAAAAATATTTATTAAATTTAAAAAACAAAAAAGAAAAGAAAAGAAGAGAAAGACTAAAACAAAAAGAAAAAGATGAACAACAAAAAAAGGAAAGTTTAGCAGGTACGTAATATCTAGAATGATAAGTTTTTTGGAAAATTTTATATCATGGATTTTTTTAAATTTTGAAAAAAAGATTAAAAAAATCAAATATGGATGTAATGTTTACACCTTCGTTAATATCTATTTTAAAAATTGTCAAATTAGAAAAATAATGTAACAAAAAATATATTTTTAATAATAATATCAAATGACCTATATTAAAAAATTCAAAATATTTATTAAACAAAAAATTGAAAAAAAATTAAAAAGAAAATGCAAAAAAAAAGTGAGTTGACACATAACATACCTTTGATATCAAGTCACTAAAAAATTTAAAAAAATTATTTATTAAATAATAAAATTGAAAAAAAAAATTTAAAATAACAAAAGTTAAAAACTAAAAAAAAAAAACACGAGGCATACCTTTGATAATAAGTAAATTCAACAAAAAAATATATAAAAAGGATTAATTAAGTTTTTCAAAAAAATTAAAAAAAGAAAAAGAAAAAGTTGATTTCTCAACTTAAAATTAAAAACTATTTATTAAACAAGAAAGTATTAAAAATACACGACACAAAAAAAAGTTAAAAAAATGATTCTCATATAAAAATAATTTTAAAAAAAGTGGGTCTCCAGTTTAAAAAGAAATATTCAAAAAATAATAATAATAAACTAATAAAATATACCCAAAAAAAAAGTCTTACAAAAAATAAAAGCAGGGAATTCCAATGAAAAAATGTATTTTTTTAAATATGAATTATTGAAAAAATTGAAAAAAAAATATAATGTAAAAAAATAACACATGTCATGTAAAGAAAAAAGCAAAAATTACTATTAAAATAACAACATTTATAATAAGATGCTTACAATATAATTCTTTATGTTGTTAACTGATAAAATATTATAAATAAATAAACTAATCAAAACTAATTTTTATATACATATTTATCTTAATTTCTTAGAATTATTGACATACATATATTATAATGTATTTTCATGTTTTTTATTAAATATACATGTAATACATTTTGTTTTATAAATATTATAATTTTATATTCACTTACACATTAAGGTAAAAGAAAGAATTTTATTTTTACTAATTAAAATAATTGACATTTTTATTAATTATTTTTTTCATTGCATTTAAGTAATAAATATTTAATTTTAATTTTTTTTTGTAATTTTTGTTAATGATGAGTATCATCCTTCATCTTTTTATGTTTAGAAAAAAAATTAAAAAAATAGTTGAAGTAGTTAAAAGTTGGTGACACATGGCATTCATTAAGAAAAGTCAAAGAAAAAGTAAAAAATTACAAAATTTATATCTATACATACTATAAAAGCAATCCCCGGACTACAATTGATTGTACACATCAATGATGTCTTTCAAAAAAAAAAGGTAAATTTGAGTAAATTTTGCTTTACAGCTATTTGCAATTAAAATTGTCTTTATTTTATAAGCAGTGATAGATGAAAAAACTTTGAGAGATGTTGCAAGAGAAAAAGCTTCTAGATTTGAAAGAGAAAACCAAAAAAAAAAAAAAAAAAAAAAAGAAGAGAAGGATTGAAAAACAAAGCATAAGCTTCTAAACATCTTTTAAAAACTTTTCTCATTTTCCTTTGTCCATGTACATATGCTTTATAATGAAAATTAACCTATGAATATGCCAAATCTCTTGATATTTTAATTATATGCATCCAACGCTTTGAATAATAACTGATATTTATAATGTGTTTGTGACTGGATTATCGATAACCTTCCATTGGTTGTTCCAATAAAAAGGCTTGATCAAGAAAATATTAATGTATCAACAAAGCATTCATGTTAAGGACAGTATGTTGGTTAAGTGCTAGATTGATTTGCATCTTTTTGAAATAATTTTTAGTATTTTTTTTTTTTAATTTTTCAATTCAAATGAAGTTGGTTTTGTTGTTTGTAAGGAATAAAAACATTTTATTGACAATCATTTGACATTTACAATCAAGTATCAAAATGATCCACTTGCAAATTCTATAAGGATTGTTAGATTTGATAACAAACCATTCAGGTTAAATTTTTTTTTCCCATTTTATGTTAGAGGCATATATTTTGCCTTTAAATTCTTTTTCTAATCGTGTTTATGGGTTTTTTTTTTTTTTTGGTTATTTATGTTAGGGACATATATGGATGACCTATTATGAGTGATAAGAAACCAAGTAAATGAGGCAGTGCTCATGGATATGGCACGAGGTACTTGAAACTATGATTGCATATTCAATTTGTTATGTGTTTCTCTTCTGCCACATTTTTTCTAACCAATTGTTTTGATGTTTGTTTTCTAAATTTGCAAAATTCAAGTTCCAATTCTTAGTGAATTTTTAAAAAATACGTGTTTAATTATTATGCACTTTATTATTTAGCAATATTCATTTATTTAGTGCAACCAAAAATGGTTGGTGAATACTTTATGAAATTTAAAAATTATATGTTAGTTTAGAGAATATTGAAAAGTATTAATTTATTGAAGCAATTGTATGAAAAATTCATGGAAAAAGACATGAATAATTAATAATTAATAATTAATAATTTTATTAATTATTGTATTGTTTTGTCTATTGATTTACTCTTATCAAAATTAAATATGCATCGCATATTTGGAGTGTGAATGTAACTTTATAAAACTATTTATGACATTTTTGCTATCAATGAAAAGGCTTAAAGTTGATAAACATTTTTATTTCATAAATGATTTTTAGATGATAATTTTAAAAAAAAAATTATTTAAGTTTACGGGAAACATAAAATTTTAGATGAATGAGTTATAAAATTAAATTTATTTATTATCATTTAATAATCAATCAAAAACTTATTTTGATCTAAAAATAAAAAAAAATAATTACAATTTTAAACCTTCTTATCTTATTGCATGTTAACATAAAAAAATAATAAATAAAAAAAATTTGTACCATTGACGAAACGAAGGCAGCCCACTAATATGGGGTGAAAAGAGGCAATTTGAGTTTTTGATTGCGATTGGTACTTTAACTGCGAAAGAGGGTTTCAATTTCAATTCAAATTTAAAATAAATAGATAAATAGTTTAAGAATGTTTAAGTTTCAAATTACCACAGTCAATGTGTTTGGATTAGTAATTTTGAAATCTTAAAATTATTTAAATATTTGAAGTTTTAGGTTTAAGTTCCATTATAGTTGAATTTGGTCTAATTAAATTTATTTAGTTATATGTTTGTTGATTTATTAATTAAAAATGTAATATTTGAATATGATTATAATTTTTTATATTAATAACATCATAAAAAGAATTCAAATTATTCTAATGTAATACTTGATTAGTCAACAAAATCTTTAATAAGTACTTCATTATTTAAAGGATTAATGTTATATATAGCTCTAAAATTATAATAAAATATTTAATATGGTACTTAAATTTTAAAAAATTTTAATATGATATATGAACTATAAATTTATTAATTAATATAGTATTTACCTTTTAAGTGAGAGTGAGTATTAGTCAATTTTAACCAATAAACCAATGAAAGACCAAAATTCAATTAAATCGGATCAATTTTTTCAGGTTTAACGATTTTCACAATTGAGTGGTCGGTTTGGATGGTGTAATCAATTGGTTTGCGGTTTTGAAAATCAAAAACCAAACCAACCAAAAAACTAAAAATCACACCACAGGAAAGATTTTTCATAAATGGATCGATCCTTTTTGCAAATGGATTGATCTATTTTGCAAATAGATCGATCCCTTTTTTAAAAATGGATCAATCCATTTTGCAAATTACCTCTCTACCTATTCAAAATCAAAATCGAAAAAATCGATTGACTTATTTTAATTCGATTTATTTTCGTTTTCACCATTTTAATCGGTTGATTAGGTTTTTTTCTAAATTAACTTACAACTGAATTAATTGACCTATTGAAACAGAATTAACCAAAATCGACCGATTGCTCACCCCTACCTCTAAGATCTACATTAGTTAACTTCAAATGGTGATACATAACAAACAACCATTTAAGTACCACATTAATTACAAATTTATAGTTCAAGTAGCATATTAAATATTTTAAAATTCAAATATCACATTAAACATTTTTTTTTATAATTTAAGGATCATTTATAATATTCATCTTTTACTTAAATTGATGAAAGCTTTCCTTGTTTATAGAGTTTTGGCGATGAATGAAAAGAAAGTGTTCCTCGCTTTGTTGTCTGAACTGAATCTATTAAGAGGTTATAAGAAAATAGTTTCTCGTAAAAAAAATATGTATTGAATAAAACCCAAGAATTCTTTGTCGCTTAACAAAAAAAAAATACATGCAAGAAAAAATGGAATGAAACAAATTAATCAATCAACTCCAAGACGCTAAAAGTTAATCCTAAACAATCTTCTTTCTTAATTGACAAAATATAATCTTTCAAGACAGATTTGAAGAATGGAGAAAAGAAAATGATGGGTTCATAGTTTGACTCTCAAATCGTGTGTTTATAAATCATCCCACAATTTGGATAGCGTGATCATCTTCTATCTAATCCCACAATGGAGAAAAGAAGAGTTGTTTTACTTTGTCTTCTATCTAATCTTCATTTAACTTTGGCAAGCACTTGCCAGCTTAAAGTAGCATAAACACATGTTCTATACTCCACTCTTTTCTAAGGGCTGATCGCTCTTTAACTAGTAGCATGTAGCCTTTAATTGGTGGACAGAATAAGCGGTGGAGGGCTAAATTGCTCATTTCTGTAAAATTGGAGGGGTTTTTTGTTTATTATCCCAAAGAAAATGCATAGTTTACAATTCCATATATCATGTTTGATTCTGCAAAGAGACTTGGTAGAGAAGTCTTTAATTCCACAGTAGAATATAAAGAAGAAGACTGCTTCAAGCCATATCTCAGACCATAAACAAAAACTATATGTAAAAAGATGCCTCTTTGAACATGTGTAAATAGGTAGCCATTTTCAAAATTCTAAAAAGAATCTTATCCTTCAAGCTTTTCTTCCTGATTAAAGCATAAAAAAAAAAAAAAAGAATTACATAAACAAACTCAAGATATTTGTTTATTTTGATTTGGATTTTTCTTTATCCAAATAGGGTTACATTTGTTATTCCTACTCATGGTATCAAATTCCAATGAGTTAACATTTGAGGTAACAAAAAAAAAAAAAAATCATTGCCAATATTTGCTCATGAAACTTGTTATTTTACCGCAATTATTTGTTGTTTATGAAGTAAAACCCCTATTTTAGTCTTTCCAAAATTTAGCAAAGGTCATCTTTTCCTTGATCCATCCTCCACTGCCCCAACACTCACCCAAAATGTTGCACATACAGGCCTATGATCTGAAAACCGGGACTCCTTCCGTTCATAAGAAAGCTGATATATTTCGCTTCCACGCCATAGTATTCTGTCACACCTGGAAACTTCAACTGTTAGAACTTACATCGGAACATTCTAGTTTGGTTAATCCTGATACATTATATATACATACCAAGCAGGCGTTCTCCTTTTGCTTTTTGTTTCTACTGTCTCTCCAGCATAAATATCAGAGTTAAGAGAGTATTTGTATGTTGGTGCAAAGTAGATTTTTCCTTCCTTCCATCCTTAAATACTCCTGCTTCCATTTCAATCTTGAGCTGTGTATCCATATGGGAAAATAGATCCACATTAGCATACAGCGATGACCTAAATAAATGGATATTCATATTCATAGTATTGAACTTCACAAAAAAAGAAACTTGGAAAGAATTTATGGTGAGACCTTCCATTGTATTCCAAGAGACTAACATATCAATTACCGATAATTGTCAAATTCCATAATGAATGCCACTGTTTGTGCTTTATTTACTGAAAAGCATATGATGGGACATTGTATTTCCAGAAACAAACATAAGCAGTCAAAATTTATGGACTTCTAATGTGCTCCAGTTTAGTATGCATCAAGTATTAAAGAAATATTGTTCTTTTGAATGCTATCAAAGCAAAATGATTTTAAACTGTGACATAAAGCCTACAAATTCTGGGTTTTATTTATGGTCTAAGAAGCTACCTGATCTTTGTTATATAATGCATCCCAGGCTTTCTCTTTTAGAAGCTTTCTGGTATCAGAGTAGCTTAAAGATATTCTGTAATTCAAATCCCCTAGCCATATGACCCGACTGGGAAATTTTTCAAAGGGAAGAAGGTCAAATAATTTGAGATCATATATGTAAAAAACTGATATCAGATTATAAGAAAGGTTTCTGAAAAACTTAAAAATCTTGGCTCAACAGTTTCATAGATGCTTACTCGTGATTAAGAATTTTCTCGGGCACCCTACTAGTAGATGTTTTGCAGATCCTTGGAAACTGTGTGTTTCTACGTATCTCTACAACATCTAAATTTCTCCGAAGTTCATCACCTTCTTTCTCTCCTGATGCCAAATGACTGCATATGAAACAAAAGCTTGTCTTGTGGAAAAGCATGCTCACAGAAATACACCCCTGCATCCACAAAAAAATTATTGTATAACATATTTGAATGGAATAAATGTTCATATAGATATCCGTAATGCAAACAAAACATCTGTAGCTGATCCAGTTCTCATCTTACTTTGTTTCCAAGGCAGCCAAGGATTCCACGACCTAAGCAGGAGATCCTCATGTGGCTTACATGTTGCACAAGCTCTTTCCTCATCCAAACAGTAACAAAAATTCCAACCATTTGCTTACTTGCTACAAGGCCATATTTCATCTGGTTTGTACTAGAAGGAGCGGATATTGTAGTGACTGCAAAGCTGCTAGGTCCATCTTCATCCTCTTCTGAAGAAAATTCGTTCTCATTTGTTTGTGATTGTGGGCACCGGAAACAGAATTCTTTGCTATTCTTCCTTTCCAAGTCAGTAGGGCAGTTGCAACTCTTCAGCCTCTTCTTACTCTCTGTCCTGAAAGGCTTACTGGCCTTTCTAAGCGAAGTCCTTTGGAAAACCAGTGAACCCCCAGAAGCAGCAGTGGATCTTGATCCTCTTAAAGGCACATTATTTGCCTTGTTCAGTGACTGATTTATTAAGGCAAGCCATTTCCCTGCAGGCTCATTGTCTTCTATAACTAGCACATTTCCGGCATTCAATGGAACAATTTCCTGAAAACTAATAATTCAAAAGAATAATTTAAATTCAAACAATTGCATTTGCATGATTAAAGCATCTGCATCCAAAACAATAGTGAAATCTTATAACAGAAGCATTCAAAGGACCTTTTTCTTGTCAGCTTTTACATGCTGATACCTGGTATACCCCAACGTCAGGTGCTACCACCCTTCTAACAGTGTGTTATAAAATATTGCATCAAATTGTTCAAAAGGAACAATGAAATATGAGCAAGAATGATGACAATGTAAATGCAAATCATTCTGGGAGAAAATAAGTTGTACGGTAAAATGTTTTTCACACTAGATTATGACAAAGAAAGGTATCTTAACTTTTCTATCAGTCTCCGCATATTTTGTCATCATGAAGAAGAAATTTTAAATTCCAAAAGAGAAACTCGAAACTAAATATTAATCTTCAAATTGCAAGGCAAGACCTGAGAGAGAGAATTACCCTAGTACATATATGTCTGATTCTTCGCGGACCTGAAGAATATCATCCAGATTAAGTTTGCTATCAGGAGATTTGCCTCCTACATTCCATGTCGCAACAAAAACACTAAACAAAGCAAACAAATCAGGAAACATAACAGTTCAGTTAATCTAATAAGCAAGCCTCTTTTAAAAGGATAGAGATAAAAGGAAGATTGCCATCTAATGACTACCGGAAGGACAGATCCTCGCAAGGCACTTTTGTGCTTACACCTCTGGAAAGCAGAGGTTGAAGTGGCAAATCATACTGTCCTTCTGCAAAAATGCAAATCAATAGACAAGAAAGCTAGTAAGATACAAAGATTAGAATGAAAGTTCAAGAAGTATGGGAATTTAATGCAGTTTATGACAGGAGAAAAAAAAAAGGAACTTTCTTTTCCAGCGAAACATTGTGGCTAGAAATCTAAGACTTAACTCCCCACCACTACTTGATTTGAAGTAAGAACAAGAATTTATAGAGGCAAAGGAAGAGAAAACAAATGCAGCACTATTATTGGATGGAAGTGGAAGTGAGAACCAGAGAAAAATATCCTCTTCTTTGCTTCCTTCCTTAGTCTTGGATAAAAGTTCAAACAAGAATATATTCTCAACAAATTGCCATTTACCCCCTTTGTATAGTCATGGTCTGTACTTGGTTCTACTATATCTGTTTAAGCAATAATATTCCACTATATATCTCTTTGTTGTATAAAGACCATAAATTCCCACATGGTCATCCTTTTTCTCCATAGATACATATACATGCTTTCGTCATCATCACCGCAATTTCGAATAAATTTTGAATAAATCATCTAATCAAAAAAAAAAAGTAAAGATATAAAAAGATCCTTCCATACAAGTAGACATTTCATTAAGTTATTACTTTTCCTACTTATTTTTAAAAGTAAATGGTAAAGAACAAAATTACAATTGATTCAAAATGAACAAATGCCTAAAATCCAACATGAATTCATATGATATATAGCAAAGTAAAAATTTTTAACTTCTTAAGAAGGATACTGTTTGCATATGTATGTAAAGCTAAATGGAACCTCAGACAATAAACTGATGCTAATTGCTTTCCACAAAAAAAGGGAAGGGAATAGAATAGTGTATTTGACAAAATAGTAACAATATTTATAATATGGAAATGAACCTTTTATCAAGAACAGCTTTATTTCATCAATAATTATAATAAGAACATTCTCTGTGCCAAATGCCAATCTATCTTCTTATGGAAGAAAATGATGATAATTTGTAAATAGTATAAATGATGCTAATAGCACTCACCAGAGGAACCAAATGAAACTTCAGTCTCTTTTCTTTGATTTCTCCCTTTCACACTAAAAATTTTACCAATCAAAGACTGAAAAATTAAAAGAAGAAAAAAGGAAAGATTAAGAAATACCATTGAAAATATTTAACAAAGAAAATAAGATTAAGTTAAATAAAAAGGAAAAGAAATTACTGAAGCCTGTTGGTTTGCCCTGTCTTGATTCATTAGAGTCATGCCAGACAATCCAACCCCGATCATCAGAATCCTTCTGAAAACTTAGAAACCTGGAAGTCAAAAGAATCCAAAACTTGTAAATCAAAATAGAACAATAAAAAAGGAAAGCAAATTTGTTGACTGAATACATGCATATGATAGGAAAAAAGTATGGGTAAAAATTGAGAATTTTCTCATATAGAGGACATTGATGAATAATACAAATCAAAAAAGAAAATTAAAAAAAAAAAGACAAACCCATACTTTTTTTAACTCAAACATAAAAAAGTTACCAAGGAAGAATAAAACAAAGGTGTACTTCAATTCAGGACTATGGAGGAAGGAAGAATATGATCATGGCATTGGGTATTCATAGAGGAAGTCAACTGAAGCAAATATGACAATATATATATATATATATATATATAGTAGTAAATGTATATATACAGTAGTAAATGTTTTTTTTTTTCCTCATATTTTTCATGTTATTGATGAGAAGTTGGTCAAAAGAGCAAGTTGAAGGAGACAAAAGGGTCAAAGAATATAAGAGAAACAGACAGAAATGGTGGGTAAGAAACCTGAAAAATGTAAGAATGTTGGTGATGTCTTTCCAATGTTCTAGAAATGGTGTTGGAAAGCCAATGGGCTGCAAAATGAAGTTTGGTTTTCCAGCAAAGACAACAGTATTGGAGTTACAAAAAGTTGTCGCCTTAGATTTATTGTTGAAGGACAAGACTAAGAAAACCCATTTTATTTTTCTTAATTTCCTTTGAATGTTATAAAATATAGACGTCGGTTTTTTGTTTGGTCGGGTTTGAGAGAAAGATTTTCTCAAGAAAATAAAAGGGAAAAGAATCGGTCAAAAGTGAGGATCGAATCTCAAATGTCTCCTCAATAAAACTCTTTTTTTTTTCCGTAAAGAGTTCGATTCTTTGTTAGTTTGTCATTTGTTTTTTCTTTAGTTTCTTCGTTTTTGTTTGTTGTTTCCCTTTGGTTTTGTTTGGGTTATGAGCTTTTAATGAAAAGTAAAGAAATTTCTTTTGTGCCAGTGGAAGTAGTGGGTACAGGCGTAAAGCCAAAAAATTTATCTTGGGTCAATCATTTTGTCGTGGATGTTTCTAAGAGCACACATTTTTTATTTTTTTAAATTATCTTTAAATAAAATTATTTAATTATTTTTATTTTAAAATTTTTGGACATACATATATGATAAGTTATACTTATCAGATTTTTATATCTGATAAGTTATATTTAGGGATATTTAGTCCGAAGAAAAATTAAATTATTGGTTAGAAATTTTTTTTTCGTAATTTGATTTCTTAAATTAGTTAATAGAATCTAATCATTTAAGTATTCCAAAATTTTTAATAATGTCAAAAAAAAATTGATGATAGTCTTGAATCAAAACCTACCTCTCCCTTAAGTTTTTTATGATTTTTGAAAAATATAAAATTTATCTCACTTTTGACCTTAATAATAATTTGTTATAGTTTATTTTATTTTGAAAATTAATATAATTATATGATAAATCAATATCCATTATAACATAAAATATTCATTCTGACATACAAAGTTACATTCTTAACCACATAATTGGATAAAATTACATTTCTAACTACATGATTAGACACCTGACAGTAATCATGTGTATTTAAATTTTATAAATTCAAATATTTGTTTTTTATTAATAAAATTTCAAAAAGATAAGATGTTTTTAATTATAAACTTAGTTGAAAAATGTATAAAATAAAATCTTAATAAATAAAAAAATTTCATTTATACAACGTTGTTATTTTATAAACGTAGTTATATGTTATAATATATTATTAAAATTTAATTATAATAAAAATTGGATGATAAACCAATACCTATTTTGACATGCAAAGCTACATTCCTAGCCATATAATAAGGCAAAACTACATTTTTATTTACATGATTGGACACTTGATAGTAATCATGTGTATTTGAATTTTTATAAATTCAAATATTTATTTTCGACTAATAAAATTTCAAAAAACAATGTTTTTTAATTATAAATATAGTTGAAAAACATATAAAATAAAATCCTAATAAATAAAAAATTTTCATTTCTACAATGTTGTTATATTATAAACGTAGTTATATATTATAATATATTATTAAAAATTAATTATAATAAAAACAATGATTTTTAAAAAAAAACGTAATAAATTGTTTCAAATTAGGATTTTGAAATTTTTTTTATAATTTCAACAGTACTATATTTTTAACATATGGTGCATAGTTGATTATAGAAAATAATAATAAAATAAATTTTATATTTTCAATATCAACATTGTTTCTTAGTATGAAAATGTAGTAATTGATAAAATATAAATTTTTAATATAAAAATATAGTTGTTGTTATTAAAGTTAGTACAATATAATATTTATTTTGTTTTACTATATTTTGTATGTTAAAAACGTAGTAATTAATAAAATTAAATTTTAGTTTATATTTCTCCATATCAATGACTACGTTTGTTGCTATGAAAATATAGTCATTGATAAACCATAGTAATAGATCACTTAAAATCGATAACATTTCTAAGATAAAAACACTGATTTTGTTGAAAACATTAAAAAAATTCATAATTCAACAAAAACGATGTTTCTACAATAGAAAACGCAATTTTTATTGAAAATATGAAAAAATATTTTTTAAAATTTAACAAAGAAAACATTTCCAAGATAAAAAATACAATCTTTGTTTAAAAGATGATGTATGTAAGATAAAAATAAAGTTTTTGTTGAAAACATGAAAAATATGTTTTTCAGAATTCAATAAAAATGAAGCTTTTAAGATAAAAACATGCAGTCTTTGTTGAAAAAATAAAAAAAATATTTTTTAAAATTCAACAAAGATAATGTTTTTAAGATAGAAAATGCAATCTTTGCTAAAAAACAATGTTTTCTAAGATAAAAATTCAATGTTTGTTAAAAATATGAAAATAATATATTTTTTAGAAAAGTGAACAACACATGTAGTCCCTAAACTTTGAGCCAAATTCTATATTAGTTCTTAAATTTAAAAAAATTTTAATTGAGTCATCAATTATCTAAATGTGTGTCAATGTAGTCCATTCGTTTGCTGTACCATTTAAAATTGATGAAAAATCCAGCATGACATGACACGTAATCTTACAATCAAGGACATATGTATTGTGGGCCTTCTCTTCAACCCTAAATGGCACCATTTGTATAAAGTAAAAAACTTCAAAGTCAGTAGCTTTGGGTTTTCATTCTAAGCTTCTCTTTTTTGTCCAACCTCTTTCTCAATTCTCTTTTTTTTAATTCCAATAAATATGAATAGTATTAACCTAAAAGCCAGCATCTACCACCATAAAATCGTCCACCGCTTCCGTTGCCGACCATTTATCTCACCAGTGACCACCATCGATCTTTGTGCTTATGCCAAAAACTTCTTTGAATTCCCTTTTCTTTTCACTTATTGAGACCCATTTATAACCCAAATCTCACTGAATTTAGCCTTTTTTTTTCTATTTGGAAAACCTAAACAGAACCACCAAACTCTGAAAAATTTTACTACTAGACCTTTCTTTTACGATGTCACTCTTTCTGCATTTGGTTTTTATTTAATCTTAATGGGTTCTGTTTTTAAGCTAAAGCTCTTGATTTTCTACAAACCGGTTTAGTTGATGGTCAATTATCAACTGTAGTTATTTATGGGTTGTAAGCATGGATGATTTTATGTTTACTTGCTGGTGTTATGGGTTTCTACTAAATTAGAGTGTGAATTAATTGGGTGGTGCTTTTTTGATTGGTAAACTTTAGAGGGTTTTTGGGTATGGGTTTGATGGATTTTTTGTTTAAAGGCTAATCAATTTGCTACTAAATTGCTTGAATGTTTGTTGTCAAATTGTTTCCCCTGTGTATTGCTTGATGTGTGCTTAATTGCTTTTGTCTTTGATTGCTTGATGTTTGTCTCTCTAATTGTTTGATTCCTCCTTTAGCCAAGAATTCTTTTGCTTAAAATCAAGGACAGAATATTAACCTTATATGTAATACAACTTTGTAAGGGTATGTATCATGCCATGCTGGATTTTTTGTCAATTTAAACGATTCAATAGAATGAAGGACTACATTGATACATGTTTGGGCAATTAAGGACTCAATTAAAATTTTTTAAAATTTAAGAACCAATAAAAAAATTTTATGGACCACTTGTGTTATTTAATCGTTTTAGAATTCAATAAAAATGACGTTTCTAAGATAGAAAATGCAATTTTTATTAAAAATATGAAAAAATTTATTTTACAAAATTCAATAAAGACGACATTTTTAAAATAAAAAAATATAATTTTTGTTGAAAACATAAAAAATTATTTTCTAGAATTTAATACAAACAACGTTTTTAAGATAGAAAATGCATTTTTTGTTGAAAATATGACGATTCTAAGATAAAAATACAGTTTTTGTTAAAAACATGAAAAAAAAATTTTTTTTTTCAGAATTCAATAAAAATGACATTTTTAGGATAAAAAACCCAATATTTGTTAAAAACATGAAAAAGTATTTTCCAGAATTCCCAATAATTCAATAAAACAACATTTTTAAAGATAGAAAATGCAATGTTGTTGAAAAAGAGTACCTTCCTAAGATAAAAACATAATCTTTGTTGAAAAACATTAAAAAAATATATATTTCAAATTCAATAGAGACAATGTTTCTAAGATAGAAAAAAATAGTTTTTATTGAAACATGAAAATATATTTTTCAAATTAAAAAAAAAAAACGATGTTTCTAAAATAAAAAATGTATATCTTTGTTAAAAATATGAAAAACTAAAATGTAAAATTCTTATTAATATTATTACATATAAAATCTAAAATACATTTACTTAATATTATTACACATAAATTGGTTTCGGGTTCTACTCTCGAAAACCCCCAAGATGGGGGTTTACCACCCTCTTCCAACCCTTATGTTAACTTTACCATAAAGGCCAATCCATGTGTTTTTTTTGCATAGGGACAATAACGTATTTTTTTCTTATCAGTATCATGAATGTTTTATGTTATCAAGAATAATATAGTAAAAAACTTTATTAGGCAATTTTACATTTTCATGAACCACATACAAAAATCTTATATTCTCTAAGTCAATAAAAATACAAGAATCACATATTCTCTTTCAATATCACTTTTTTCTTAAATTACTTTCATTTAC